CTATAATTAATATGAAAGGAATTATAAGACTCGTAAATTGCACAAAACGGGATTTCAGTTTTTCGTAACTTTGCGTGGTATTTTCGGTTGTTTAAACAATAGAAAATTTTTTTTAAATACCAGAGAACTCTGTAACTATTTGGGGGGCTATTAAAACCCAAATAATAATTTAGAAATTTTCATTTTGGTGGGGCCGCTTTTTAGGGGGGGGGGCTATATTTAGTATTGATAGCCCCCAAGAAATTTTTACAATTATCTCTTTGAAGTTTAGCTCTAAAATTAATATTAAAAGAGATATAAGACTCGCAAGTTGTACAAAACGGGATTTCCGTTTTTTGCAACTTTGTATGGTATTTTCGGTGGTTTAAACAATAGAACTATTTCTAAAAAGTATAGGGAACTCTAGAACTCTTAGGCGGGCTATAAGAACTCTCAAAATTTTTTTTAAAAAGTTGAGGATGGGGGGCCAACTTCACAGAGGTGACCTGCTGCTATCTGTGGCCGATCTACCGAACGTGGCGGATGCAGCTCTTCTACCTCTGCGGTTAGGCCTGACCAATTCCTTCGACAGGTTGTGTCAATATAGAAATCTGATAACTTTCAGATATATCAAAGAGCATTTACCTATACCAGTAAAGATAAAACGTATGTTTATAACCTTCAATATATTTCCTGTGATTTCATATCTCCAGATCTGATAATATATATATAAATAATTACATCGTTGGTTAATTACGAAAAATCACCATGTTACATTTTAGAAAATTAAATAAATTAGTGAATAATTTGACGTATTTCCCTCTGTAAAATCGCAACATTGTCCACTTACAATTAGTGTGACAACTTTTGATCTATCGATGGTAGGCAATGAAAATCTTGTAACTCTATTTCAGTATACTTTACAACGGAAAATAAGAGTTTAAGAACTAATAGTAGTATACTCCATTATCATTTATATGTAGGTTAAGGATACATATGTACCTTCATATCTCTGTCGTTGAGACCGGAATTATGTGGTTTACAAACACAGACGGAGTTACGAGGTTTTCCTTGCCTACTATCGATATTATAAAAGGAGTGTGTGCTATTTTAATAGTCTTAATGAGTTGTTAGCTGTAAGGTTTAGCTCTGTTAAAATACTAATTCAATAATAATTTCAATGTGCGTAATAATCCTGCAATTTATCACCTTAAACCCTCCCCCACTATAATTTCAAAAAGATATGTTGAACTATGTTGGACCAAATGTTCCGTTTCTATTTACTTTGTATTCTTTAAACTGTTGATGTTTTATCTCTAGTATGCACTTGAGGTTTTTCAGTCTTGATGCATTGGTGGACTGTTGAGAAATTATTCACTGATATTTAAGACTGTGGTCCAGCTCAGCATTTAAGTAATTTATTTATTTGTTTATATCAGTTATCGTATAAAATTATTTAATTATTACTCAACCGCGAGATTAATTGAATGAGCATGTTTATTTATCTTATTTATTTGGCTATTGTCAATTCACTGTACATCCTAAAGACGTGGGTGGTGTACAAATCACACTGTTCACTCATGAATGATATGCGCGTACTTCGTATCTCATTGTTAGTGACTGGCTACTGTCTTTATCAGCAAATGCGATAAAACAATTGCTTTGATAATGAAATTGGAATCGTACTCCTTTCAATGGATGCACTGATTGGCGGGGAGCACCGATAAAGTCCAAAGAAGCATAATATAATTTGTTCGAACTGCATCGATTCCAAACCTCGTCTGCAACAAGAAGGATAACACATGTCTTCAGAGATGGCCATTCCACCCAAGGCCGACGGGGCAAGAACAACCTATCCTCTCCACCCAAGGCCGACGGGGCAAGAACAACCTCTCCTCTCCACCCAAGGCCGACGGGGCAAGAACAACCTATCCTCTCCACCCAAGGCCGACGGGGCAAGAACAACCTATCCTCTCCACTCCCAAGATATTTTATTGCTCACCTTTTTTTATAAACAGAGCAAGCTAAGGTAGAATTAGAAAATAGTAGATCATATACAATTACACTTGCTGCGGTATGTTTCCCCTTGTCCCTTGTCCGAAAATTTATAATCCCGTCGAAATTTCTCCCCTCAAAAATTTTAATGGCACAACTTGCGCCATCAAACCTCTTTCTGGGCATCCCTGTATGTCTTGTTTCGGCTCCACACAAAAACGTTTTGTTTTTCTGAAGAAATTATATTTTCTCTCAAAAAGAAAGCGATAACTATTTAATTTAGTTAATTATCAATTGCATAATTATAAACAATAAAAAAATTTGTTTGTATTGCAACCAATTTATGAGATCTTTTACAGGTAAACTACGCCGAATTCTGTTTTTCATAAAACCACGAACTATTTACTTTTTTTTCATCGGCTTCTCATTGGACTACAAAGTTTTCGCATTTAGATAATTTTCCATATATAATAAATATGCTTCAAGTCCCTAATAATTAAGTTGATGTTCGCTACAGAATAAGCTGAGGTTCGTTATTTTTGAAAAAATATTAGGTCCTGTAAAATTCTATTTCTTCAAAGTACCAGTATTTTATTTTTTCTTAACAAGTAACGTTAAGGAAAATATATTGATGAGGTCGATTTTTTCAAGTCAAGTTTTGAACGGATCCATAAGTTCAAAAGCATCTTGATTGTGGGCAGGAGTTTTCTAAAGCAGTTGAATCTATTATTTGTTTGCATTGGGTTCCGGCCCCTGATGTCTGTCTTCGAACGAGCACTCTAAGTATCATAACCAAAAACGTGTTTTTGTTTTACTATAACACCAAAATGGTTCAAACGTTAGCTATAATACGTGAGCCACTTGAAGAAGTAAAATTAGAAGTCCTTTATCAAGCATGGAAAACTGCGTGTGGATTTTTTATAACCTCTCATACTCTGATGACTTAACAAGGAAAACTATTATTTGTTTAATTAAACAGAACAGTTGAGTTTTCGATAAGTTCAAACAATGACGTGTTATCGCTGAAACCAAACAGAACAGTTGAGTTTTCGATAAGTTCAAACAATGACGTGTTATCGCTGGAACCAAACAAATAAGGAAATGGTCATTCTTCGAACCGACGATCAGCAATACAAACAATAACCGAAAAAAGCCTTATTGATAATAGGATAATAGGAAACATAATGTGCAACTCTTACTGAAGGACACTAGCGGATCCAGGATTTAATTTTTTTGGGGGGGGCTTCAGCCCGAAAGCTTTTTTTCATATATAAAAAGAAAGAAACTAACTACCTATATGACATGGTATTTAAGTGATTCTTGAAGCCCTATTAAATGTAATAATATTTTAAGAGATAGTTTTTAGTATTTTTTTTCTATAAAACATGGTTATATTTTACCATTTTGGGGGGCTTCAATCCGAAAGTCTCCCCCCTCTCCCGTAGATCCACCTGTGCTAAAGGAAACAAAATACCGGGATCAGAACTAAGATTTTTTCCAGACGGGAAGTCATGTTTTGGCGCGCCTTCTTTCATCCCCTCCCCCACCAGCTTCACAATAAAAGTCAACAGTTTTAAAACAACTGTTTAGGTAATGTATTTCGAAGTAAATATCGTATAATAACATCAAGACAATTTATTGACAGGATTGATGTCAAAACAACCTAAAAGCAAAAGCAAATACATGTTCCTAAATTTCGTTTGAAATTTACTTGCCACTAAATTCTCCAGCGCGGGGCAAGTGGCTCCCTTTTCTCTCAGACCTGCAAAAGCAACGAAGAGTTAACCATGGCAGGCAGAAGGGGTTCAAGATAAGCAGAGGCTCCAAGCGATAGGCGATAACGGGACTAAAAAAATAAAAACGCGGGTGCTGTGCAGAGGCGTTAGCACGCTCGGCCACTCCGGCCCTATTGGTGTGGTGTGGTCTACAAGGACTGTGTTCAAGTCACTGGCGGATCAACGGGTGGAGAAGAGGGAGGTTTTCAGGCTGAAACCTCCAAAATGGAAAAATATATTCTATTATTTGTCTTTTGTTAAGTAAGGTATCAAAGATTTTTTTTTTTACTTGCCGTCAAGGACCACTAAAACATTATTTTATATAGTTCCTTATCTTCCAGAGCATTTAAGAAAATTAATTAAAAAAAAAAAAAAGAAATCCAAGCCTTCTAAGTAAATCCGGAACCCCCTGCTGGTTCAAGTCAACCCAAGTAGTCATCCATTTTTTGTCATTGGTAACACATATTTATTATTCTACAAATGCTAGAGGTACTTTATTCACTTTATAAATCGAGTGTCAGTACCATATTATTTTCCTTGGTTCCAAGTAGTAATAATATTTTTTATAAACTTCCTGGACGGAATCAAACATCCAATGAACTCTTCTCTCATCATTTATTCAAATGCTTGTAGAATTTTTCTTCCTCAAAACTATTTTAAGAGGCTTTTAACCTTCTAAGCTATCTTTAGTTCCGTTCCTCATAAAATCATGAATTCTCACAATTTAAAAAAAAAGTTTATTTATATAAAACTCTGTAGTAATATTGACTAATATTGAAAATGGATTATTATATTGATATCTATCAATGATTGTCAATCTGCTGGCTATGCTATTTAGCTCATGTTAAAAATTTAATTCCTATTTTTATTCATTTGTTATTGTACATAGGTGTGAATGTGATTTATTTACTTAAATTTCATTTAGCTTTTATCTATTATTTCATTTTTCTTTTTTTGTACACAGGTATACCAATTTACTTATTTTTTTTTTTTTTTATATTGCTTTTTCTTTATTAGGGATATTAATTGTATGTACATATTGCGTGAATGAATCATGTAGCCTTAATATTAATGCCCTTCAATATGGCAGAATGTATCAATATTCAATGAAGAAAGTAATTCATTTGTTGTTATTTTTTGTATGTTCAATGCAGCCTGAAAGGCCACAATGGAAATCTGAATGAACAAGAAAATGAAAACTGACCATTTAACTGATGTCTGATGATTTCTTTTTTTTTTTTTTTTTTACAGTTTTTGGTAAAAAAATTGATTCAAAATGAAATATATGCTGCCTATTATTCTACTGACCAGCTCGTTGCTGGCCTCGGAGGGAGCCAAAATCCTGATAGTGCTGCCCATTCCGTGGTACAGCCACACCAACACCTTCATGCCGGTCTTCAGAGAGCTTGCTAAGAGGGGTCACCAAGTGACAATGGTGTCACCATTCCCTCAGAAGAAACCTTTGCCTAACTGGACGGATCTTACTGTTAATGCTACAGCATTTTCAGAAGTTATAGGTATGTATTAAAACAGAATCAGTAAAAATAATTTATTAACCTATTAATAAATAACATATGTCCCCAACACTGACAATTTTGTATCTTGAAAACATTTATTACTGAATCCAGGAAAGATGTTAGTTTAGAGGAGTTACTAAAATAGACACTATCAAAAAATTAAATCAACTGTATTATTTCATACAGAGCTGTTCATTGAACTGTTAAGTTGTATAGTTATCATATAAGCATATATTAATGCTTATTTATATTGATATTTGTTATATATCCCTGGAATATTTAAAATAAAAAAATTATTATTGAAAAAAAAGAGTTTTACTAATTGTATATATATATATATATATATATATATATATATATACATACATATGTGGCTATTTATTTCAGGCCCAAGATATATAAAGCTTTTTACACTCTCAAACTTGAAAGAACCTACCTCAAATGGAAAGTTCAGATCCACCTCACCACCAACTTTCATATACTTAGTTTTCTTCTCGTTGATTTCTAGACCAACTCGTCTTGCAGCTGCTTCAAGGGCTGTAAACGCTTCTCTGAGAGCCCTTTCAGACCTTCCTATTATGTCAATATCAACAGCAAAACCAAGAAGCTGTGTCAGGCGATTGAAGATTATGTTGCTGGTCTGAATACCGGAATCTCTTACAGCTTTCTCCTCTGCCAAGTTGAATAATAGACAGGGAAGGGCATTCCCTTGCCGAACCCTACTGCTCCCTTTAAACTCTTCAAAGACATCAGAACCAACGCGTACATTTCGAGCTGTCCATGGTAATCTTGATTAGGCGTATAAGCTTCTGAGGGATACTTAGCTCCGCCAAGGCACAATATAGTTGTGTTCTATCAACGCTTTCGTATGCTGCTTTAAAGTCCAGAAATAAATGGTGGGTGACTACATTATGCTCCATACTCTTTTCTAGGATCATCCTGGAAGAGAACAGTTGATCAGTGATTGAGCGTTCTCGTCAAAATCCAGCCTGATATTTCCCCTGTTCCTTTTCAAAATATGGGAGAATCCTCTCAAAAAGAATATTATAGAATAGCTTATAAGCACACGAAAGGAGTAAGATTCCTCTATAGTTAGTGCATTCCGTTTGATCTCTTCCTTATGTATTAGGCAGATAATTAAATAAGACTAACTCACAGCTTACACAAGGAACAAAAAATAAACAAGGGAATAACTTAGGTTAGAGGAGATAAGGGAGGTTATGTGAAAAAGATTAGATAACAAGGGAGGTTTTGATGCTACCTGCTATTATACAAGTACCTTCTTATTTTCCCAAGCTCTTCTCTTTCCGCAGAATAATCTTTTCTCTTTGCGTCTTTTTCTTCGATATGTTTCTTGAGAGAGCCTTGTGGGATGCTGGACCTTCTTTCTGTAGGCTTCATTTTTCACTTTTACTGCTTGAAGGCACTCAGCATCAAACCATGGGGCCTTCTAAATTTAGTCTTGTAGCAAAGAGATTCTTCTGCTGCTTGTTTGATTGTGTTGCTGCATCTCTTCCACTGTTCATTGATCATAGAGCTATCATTAATTACTTCTTCATTAAGTTTCCCCTCCACAGCTTGTTGATACAAATATTGGTGGTCTGAATCCTTTAGTTTAGCTACATCAATGTTCTTCTTTAGTAGTTGGTGGTGGTTTTTAACCAGCGAAATTCGTGATCTCACCTTGGCAATGCTCAAATAGTGTCCATATTTGCACCTCTAAAAGATCTTGCATTTATCATGTTGGACTTGTAACAAGCACTAATGAGTACATGGTCTATCTGTGATGTTGTTTTGTGGATATTCTTTCGAGGAAAAAGAGTTGTTATAACAACCAGTCCATGCGATGTAGCAAAGTTCCACCATCCGGAACCCATTATCATTACTGGTTGCATGCAAGCTGTGGGTTCCTATGGTCAGCATGAGTGCCACCTCCTTACCAACTTGGGCGTTAAAGTCACCAAGAATGATTCAAACATAATTTTTGGGGTAGCTTTTTATAACACGTCCAAGTTTGTTTTTTTAATTTTAAAAACATATGAAGTTGAATTGGTATCAAATGTCTAGCCTATTAAAGAAATTTAACACACTGTCATAAATTACTTATATTTTACTTAATTAATTTTAATATAATTTTATGTTAATTAGAGGATTTTGTAACCAGCTTTGTTGGTCAAAACGTATATATGTTCTACCCTATTTTTTGGCGTGTCTTTACGGACTTGATGAAAGTGTCATTTCAAGATCCAGCTGTTCAAGAAGTAATAAAATCAAATACAAATTATGATCTTGTGATAATTGAACCATTCTATGCTCAAGAACCATTAGTGGCATTTGGGCACAAACTGAATGTTCCCGTTGTCGCAATACATCCCTTGGGCCTAACTCCATGGGGAGCTTATTTGACCGGAAATGAAATGTCTTTCCATCTAATGCCAAATATCCGCACAGCTTACACGAATGAAATGACATTTTTCCAACGCTTGGACAACTTGTTGGTCAACGTGATAGAATTTGCTGTAGCTTATTTCCACTATGTTCCAAATAAGGTATGTTTTATTTATTCATCCCAGAATAACATTTTTTTTATTCTTTGATATATATACTATACATAGGAGAAATATATATACCATTCATATTTTATTAATTTACTTTAGGAAAGACAAATGGATAAGTACATGGTTTATCCTGGAAGTGATAACCGACCATCGATGCTGCAAATGTTAAGAAATGTTTCTTTGACATTAATCGACTACCATCCCTCTTTGCTCTACCCAGAACCCCTACAGCCTAACATGATTCCTGTCGGAGGGCTCAGTATCTCGCATGTTGATGAATTACCAAAGGTATCATCAAATAATTAAATAGAGTTTAGTTTCCTTTCTGTTAAAATCTCAATATACTTGAGATATTTAATTATTATTTTGGGTTTTCAGGATTTGAAAGATATTATGGATAATGCAAAGAACGGGGTAATATTTTTAAGTTTTGGTTCAATACTCCGAGGTAAAGAATTGGAAGGAAAAGTTATTTCAGTAATTTTCGAAACTTTTGCTAAATTGGACCAAGTATTGTTAATGAGGTGGCACACTGAGGACGTTCCCAACAAACCAAACAATGTTATAATAAAAACATGGATGCCGCAGCCCAGTATATTAGGTAGGTTTTGGAAGATTGATAACTTCTACTATTAAATAAACAGAAGTTTTTTCAAACCAAGCAAACTGCTTCATATGATAATAATTTAAACGATAAATGGTATAATCTCCTTAATAAAAATACTGTTATTTGCTTGTTACAGCTCATCCGAATGTTAAGATGTTCATTACTCATGCTGGGCTTCATGGTATTACGGAGGGTGCATACTTTGGAATGCCTCTTGTATGTATTCCTTTGTTTTCTGATCAAGAATTCGATGCGAGGTTTGTTGAAAAAGCTGGCTATGGAACTGTTCTTCTTCTACCAGATCTCACCAAAGAAAATCTTCTTGCTAACATCAATGAAGTATTAAAAAATCCTAAGTGAGTGTTTTCAAATACGATGGGGATAATAATTTAGGAGGCGGCTAAAAAATGGCTTTCTCTGGTTAAATGGTTAAATTTTTTTTTTAAAGCATTTTTGCTATCCTTGGTTTGTACTTTCCTTCTTAGGTAAATCTGAAAGTTGTGGACATAATTTATGTAGGGTAGATGAGGCAAGGAAACTCTCTGAATGAGATAATATTGCACACTCTTTAGTTATCGAAGGGTTCAATGGTGGTTCAATTTTAGATTCTATCTTTGTTTGTTTAACTCTTTTTTATTGTAATAGAATTATCTATTAGCACAGGCAACTCTACGGGGGAGGAGGGGCTTTTGGGCTGAAGCCTCCCCTAAAATGGTAAAATGTAATCATGTTTTATGGAAAAAAAATTAGCTCTTAAAGTATTATTGCTTGTAATAGTACATGTAATAATTGTTGTTAAAGTATTATTTACATTTAATAGGACTTAAAGAATCACTTAAACACCATTTGAAATAGGTATTTAGTATCTTTCTTTTTTTTTTCAAAGTAATTATCATTATATATTATATCATTATATATATCAAAACAAAAGCTGTTGGGCTCAAGCCCCTCCAAAATTTAATCCTGGATCCGCTAGTGCCTATTAGTAATGGAAAAATCATTATACCAATGGAAACATATAAAAAAATTTGTTTTGTATACATTATGGAAAATTTTACGATTTATGACTTAAGTTAAATCTAAAATCAAGTGTTTACTTATCCTGTGATAGTATCAAAAATTAATAGGAAAAAACTAAGATGTATGCTTTATCAACAAGGCGAGATTAATAATATGAAATATAAATTATAAATAATAGCTCATTATAAAGAGGATGAAATGCTGAACGATTCCCTTGCTTACAGTATGCAGATCCGATTTTTAGTATCTGAGATATTTTAATCCATATCTTCAATAAAACTCGTTATCATTTGGTCTTCGACACTATTTTTTCCCTTTTCACCTCTCTAACACGGCATGCTGTTAACACTTATGACCACCTGTTGCTAACAACCTTGCAAAACGCAAGGAAGGAAGAAAGAAAGAAAGAATTTGTATAAATTAAGATATATCATTAGCTACTTTAATGTCATAAAGAAAAGTGGTGACAAGGGTATCTCATATGATGTGAAGGAATCTATATTGTGAAGACGAGAAAACCTCTACAGTCCAGCTAAATCTATTTGAATTTGTATCCCAAAGCTCAATAATCTCAACTAATAAACAGTTAAACCTTTACAATCTAGCAAATTTTAAGTTGCAGAAAAAAATAATAATAATGTTATCTCTGTCTATACTTCAGCTATAATGTAGTATTAAATTTTGTAATACAACAACAGTATTACATTTTGAAATCAATCTTTGACACATCCTCGTTTATATCATACATATTTAATTAATTAATTTAATTACAGATACAAGAAAACAGCACTGGAAAGATCTGCAATTCTCAAGGACAGGCCACAGACAGCACTTGAATCAGCTGTTTATTGGGTCGAGTATGTTATTAAGCACAAAGGCGCAGGTCACCTCAAACCTGCGAGGCTGCAACTGTCGCTGTTTCAGAACTTAGGCTTAGACATTATTACTTTTCTTCTCTCTCTCCTTGCAATTTTAGTTTTAGTCATTTGTAAAATTGTTACTTACTTGAAATTACTAAAATATAAGAATTCAGTCAAAACTAAAAAAGAATAATTCTTACAAAGTTTTATGGTGCCCATATATATATGCCCACATGGTACCATAAAGAACATGATGCTTCTTTGTATGTATTTATTATATGTATATAATATGTGATGTATAAATAAATAGGTAGTTTGTACATTTTATTGTTCAAGGTAATTGTTTTAATGTATATTAAATGTTTGTGCAATTGTAATAATTTTTGTAAAAGAAAAATATAACATAATACAATGTATTAAAAATAAACTTTTATTTTTAATGTTAATGTGGATAATTATTTATAAAACACATGATTATTTTCATTGTTAAGTAGTAGCGTAGAAAGCTTTAAAATGGCAACACATCAGGTAAATTTTCTAAGATTTCTACAGATTTTTTATTGAAGGATTAGTTAGTTTTGGTGTCCAATCCACAAAGCCCCTTAACATTTAAAAAATTAAATGGCAGTACAGGTTGCAGTAATTCAATGTAGTATAATGGTATAGGCTAGGAAAGTGATATTGAGGATTTTAGGAATTTTGTATGGCTGATCACCAAAACGCAACACCATATATTCGTTTCAGTGAATAATGTTTAAATAAAAATATTGGTGCATTATGAAATCTCATCCAGTTAAATGACAACTGTAAAATTTTGGAAAACCTGATATTACCCCATAATTTTTAGAAGGAAATGTTAATTGAATCTACATCATAATATAATAAAAGAAAAATTTTAAACTAGTACAATCAACTTTAAAAATGACGAAGTTTATATAATAACCCAGCAGTACCAGTACCAGTAATAGTCAATTAACTGACATACGGAGCAAGTAGTACCATAGGAGCAGGCCATAATTAATGTCACAAATTTATCAATGATTATTATAATGACCATATTCCACTAATAGTCCAGTCAAAAAATGTTTTAATATTGTTAGGTGTGTAGTGAATAAGAAATATCCAACTTTTCTAGCTTCAAAGTCTAACATCTGCGATATCGAGAGTAGTTTCTATTAACTATTATTTTTATATTAAATTAGTACACCTCTTTTATAATTTTTTTTTATAAGAAAAGATGATATGTGTACATTTTTACAAAAAATATACAAGGTGTAAAAATGACAATGTTAATTTTTTAAAAAAAGGAGGGTTTGCTGGTGGGCTACCTTTGTACCTACCTACCTTGTAGACGGTAGGAGTACTATCGAAAAGTTTGATTAAAGTCCGGATATTTAGAAGTAGTGGTAGGTGTGATCACCTAATATTAATAGTGAACAACTTTCAATTTTAATAAATCTGTAATTCTAAAAATTATAACATGAAAAATAAATGGAAAAATAGCAAATTTCAATAATTATATCAGCTGATTTCATTGAAAATGTTTTCTTATTCATTTACAAAAGGACAAAAATTGACTTCATAACTAAAATTTTGGAAATTGATCCTTTTAGAACCAAGAAAAAACCTTGCCACACCCTGCTCCTTTCACCCATGACAAATTTTAAAATAAAAAAGCAAAAATAAATAACTAATAAAAACAAATTTCTGAAAGATTGATTAACAGTGACAAGTTTATTTTAAACATTTTTAAAGAAAATAATCATGAAAAAATCCTACTTCCTACTCCCTTAAACTAATTGCCCTCAATTCTTTTGGCTGCATACAAAAATTGTCTAGTCTACAATATCATTACAAGCCCATGAGGTGAATCCCAACATTGTATCAATAGTTTTAAGCAAACATTAGATTTCTTCATATTCTTAACATCTGCAAGTGTGAAGATTGACCATAATTATAATTTGAGAAGGAGTTGGTTGCGGATGCAGTTAATATAAATACTATTATACTATATTATAGTAGTGTTTTATTGGATTTGCTGACATTTCGACCTACCTTTAGTGAAAAGCTCTAAAAACCGTACATTTAGAGTAAAAAAAAAGTCAAGAAAACATTGTTATAATTTATGAAATGGACATTGTTGATTTGCCACTCTAAACTGTACTAGCCAGCGGTCGATCCCAGTGAAATCCCTCAGCTGTCCCCTGGTACAAGGTGACTACTGCCCACGAGTGCAGTGCTACTGCCCACGAGTGCAGTGCTACTGCCCACGAGTGCAGTGCTACTGCTGCTCCAACATGCAGCCACCGGCCGCTACTAGATTCAAACCAGTTTGGACCTCGGGTGGATGGCAACATGACTACTCAAAGTGGCACACCAAGAGTACCTAAAGGAAGGCTGCTGCCTTAGCTCCAACTTAATTAGAGAATCCCAAAACAAAGGCCTTTTAAAAATTGAATGATAACTTTATTGTAAAAGAACATTACTTGTTTTTAATATCAGACAGGAATGTGTTGTTATTATAAAAGTTTTTCTTATGTTTATAAAAAGAAAACATTCTTTTTTCGAAATGGTCTTAGATTACACCTTTGGCTGCTTACAAACTTTTAAACCCTTTTAGATTAATAGATTAAGAGTATTAATTCATGAGATCATTAAATATCAAGTCGGGATCATTCTATATACTCGAGATAAATCAAATATGTTATTTACATTAAAAGATTTCCAATAGCTTTAGGGCCCTAACAAATACTAAGGTTCGAGCAGGTTTTGGCCTAATTTTTACATGTGAATAGAACCCTCATTACCCCCCGCATTTATTCATTGTTTCATTAAACACTTTTCTTCAATGTTTTCATGTGTTTTTCCTCATCTTTAGGATTTTCTTTCGATATTTTTTAAACTTCTAAATTTACTAAAAATTCATTTCACTCTTAATTTCATATAATAATAATAATAATATAATAATAATAAGGCTTAGCGAACCCGAAGGTTCGATGCCGACACCACCAATCGCTTGTTACACACCTCCCTCCACCGTTCGCCGTCCAAACCCAGTCCCTTCAGATCGGCTTTAATGCAATCTTCCCACCTTCGCTTCGGTCTTCCCCTCGGACGCTTACCATTCGCCACAGCAAATATTAACCTTTTAGGAATTCTCTCGTTACTAAGCCCAACAACTTTACAAGCCCATTTGATTCGCCGCGATGAAATTACCTCAATTATATTACCCGGATACATCTCACGCAATTCGGCGTTGTGTAACCGTCTGAACTCTCCGGTTAACTCATCCTTCTTCGGTCCGAATATTCTACGCAATACTTTATTTTCAAAAACCTTAAGACGCTGCTCATCCCTTAATGTAAGCGGCCAAATTTCGCATCCATAAAGAACTGTAGGCAAGATAATTGTTTTATAGATTCTAATTTTTAAGTTTCGGGACAAGAGGCGCGAACTAAGTAGTTTTGTCACAGAAAAATAACAAGCATTCCCCGCCTTCAGTCTAACCTTAATCTCTTCTTCAATTTCGTTTTTAAAATTTCATATAAAATATTCATAAATATATAGCCAATTATAAACGTTTAATAATTTATTTAATTTTAATAATTTAATATATTTTAATAATTTAATAAATAATCATTATAAAAATTCACATCATCACACTGAATTAATGTATATTAGCTCAGACAGAGCTCATAATGCAAATTTTAGTGTTTGACTCAAATAATTGACATTATATTTATTATGATATATGTGAAGGATCAAGCATGATATTTTTGAACTGTTACAGCAGTTAATGTGAGATGTAAATTGGTGTATTTTAAGTATTTGCTCCTTCTATTTGCCCAAACTCAATAGTGGGCTGAAAAATAAGTTGATATATGCTTGCTTTGTAGTGGATAAAAGTAATAAGAGTTCAATTTTCTTTGACCTCAAAATACAAAGCCTCGAAAGTAATTAATTAATGAAAAATAACAAAATCCTTTAGATGTGGAAACAACACATCTAATGTCAATGAAAATAATATAATAAACTATAACGTAGACCCAATTAAAATATTAATATTAAACTGAAAAAAAATCCTGAATTAGTAATATTCTTATAATAACAAACATTTAATTTTCTAATATAAAATTTTAGTCTTGCACTAGCGGATCCAGGATTTAATTTTGGGAGAGCATCAGCCCGAAAGATTTTTTTTTTCAAATATATAATGATAATTAATTTAAAAAAAAAAGAAAAGAAATGAACTACCTATATGAAACGGTGTTTAAGTGATTTTTGATGTCCTATTAACTGTAATTACACGAACAATAATACTTTAAGAGATAGTTTTTAATATTTTTTATAAAACAGTTATATTTTACAGTTTAGGGGGTCTTTAGCCCCAAAGGTCCCTCCCCGCAGATCCGCCTGTGCAGTCTTGTGCAAAGCTCCTTTCGTACTCTTCACCAACCTACTCCACGCTGTGAGTACCATCTTCAGGAGATTTAGCCAGAACTCTAGGCCACACTAAGCTGGCCACTGGCTGTCCCTGGGGCATTTGAAATGGAAGCCAATTTATTGTGTATAGTTCTTCTGTATGACCATTTTATTGGATGCTACTATTGCCTCCATCTTTATTAATTTATTGTCTATGCACGTGCGATTTTAGAAGTACTAGAGTGATATCTTATATTGTATGCCCATATCTTATATGATATCTCACATAAGATATTTTGTTATATACTATGATTAATAAAAATAATAATAAAAGTATATACTATGAGACATACTAGTCAGATAAACAGTACCGGTAATATTTTTTAGTTTCAATTACCCATATATGAAATATATAGTAAGGGTAAGTATTGCGATCGTGAAAATTTTCGAATCTGAGTTTTCAACGGAAATGCATGTTTTGAGGTCTCCTGAGTCCAAATTACCAAGTCCCGCAAAATGGTCTGTGTGTGTATTAGAAGTCTAGCTCAAAAATGAAAAGTCGTACAAAACTGATATTACGTATTTAAGATAGGTATATGCCTGAGATGTGACATTAACTTTTTCATTAAAATCGGCTAACCGGAAGTGGCACTTTATATTAATGCTGAAACACATTTTTACAATTTTCTCAAAAATGGCTCAAACGATTTTGATTAAACTCAGTGAATCATTGTATAATGAAGTGGTTTTTAATATCAATCAAGTTTTTTCCCCATTTATGTCACATTATATGGCTTAAATGCCCAATGCTCATATACATCTTTCTATAAAGTACCTTTAATACAGTTTATTTTAAATAATTAATCATTTCACATTATTTAGAGTTACAACAAAATGCTAAATATAACTTTTGAAAGAATTTGATAATTGAAAAAGGAGAAAAAAATAAAAATGCTTATCCAGGTCAAAAATGAATTTCCAGAAATGATAGTCAAAAGGTATGCTATAACATATAATTGGAAAGCGGAAAATTAAAAAAAACAAAACAATATCTAATATAGAAAATTGTAGAAGGAACGGAGAGTGGTGAAAAAAATAAAAATAATAATTTCTAAAAACTAACATTATTTATAGTAAATCACCTGTTTTCAAGTAAATTAAATTAAATTTTCTTATTAAATATAAAATTTAAAATTGTTTTTAAGTTTGAAAAAGTATTTAAAATCTAAAGATTCAAGATAATGACATTGTTTAAGATACTATTTCATAGTACTTGTGTGAAAGAAGAAGTGAAATATAAAAATATTTCATGGATATGTTTATAACCTTAAATATATTTACTGTAGTTTAATAACTCTAGATCTGATATTATATTTAAATAATTAGGTATCTATCGTCCGTTTATCCCGAAAAATCATCATGTAACCTTTTAGAAAATTAAATTTGTGAATAATTTAATGAATTTTCCCTTTGTGACACTCCAATAGTATCTGTATAGTATCTAGTACAATTAGTGTGACAACTTTTGATCTGTCTATTTCAGACAATGCAAATCTCTTAATTCCATTGCAGTAAACTTTACAATGGCAAATAATAGTTTAATAACTATTAGTCGTACAATCCATGATCAACAGATTGTACAATCCATAATCACCGGATCGTACAATCCATAATCAACGGATCGTACAATCAATAATCAACAGATCGTACAATCCATAATCAACTGGTGATATAATAAACAGAACATTTATTATTTTAATGGTATTTATGATTTGTTAGCTGTAAGATTTTAGCTTTAGCTCAGTTAAAAGTGTAATTCATAAATTTTATAATAGTCCAATATGGCCAGAAAATAATTTCTATTGTGTGTGAGTTACACGCCACCAGATTTTTATAGAAGAAACTAGTCCAGCAAATACTGCTTCTGATCCTTTTTGCAAAACCCTTTGGCTATCTAGAAGTTGCCGTTGCATACTTACCAAAGTGTGAGTGTGAAGATTCATTTCAAGACTGCCAAAAACAAATATTAACCTGAACCAAAAAGACAGAAATCAAATCGATAATATTCCAAACTGGGCCCTCCCATGCTTGGGTCGAAACATCGGTAATTATCAGTTTTATTTTTTTCCTAGGAATTTCTGTCCTCTGGCTTATTAAGTAATAAATAATTATGGAATAATAACTAACAGAATAAGGCTGTCTCTAGGCCAAACAAATCTTGTCTCACTCGAAAAATAATGATTTAAATTATTCTATTTATGTATATAACTGTAAGAAATTCGCATTCATTTTTTGAAATAAGAGAATTAGAAAAGTAGATAATTTAAACCAATCGAATGTTTAAATTTGTTAAATCTAATATTGAAAATGAAATGATAATGACAGAGTCATACAAAGTTTGTATAAAAAATGAATGAATAACATTAACATTTAAGATCTTTGTATAAAAAAAAAAAATCTTGTAAATACTTATTTCCTTTATCATTTTAAGATAATCAAATAAATTGTTCTACAAATAAAACGATTGTTTAAAATTATTGATAACTAGAGTGAACAGGAAAATGATAAAGGATGTGAGAAACAGGGACCAATTTTATTGTTTAGTAAATACTTGAAGATAATTATAATTATTTTTAAATGCATGCAAGATTTCTTGACGGGACTTAGTCTAAATAAATCAATTTATCAGTACCTTGAAAAAGTAAACATCAAAGAAACGTAAATTCATTGCTAACTTACATTATTTGAATTATTATTTCATTTGTAAACAGTATGACGTATTAAATATTTAAAAAAAGTTTACCTTCGTCTACTACTTAAACTATTTATTTCATCTCATCTCTTAACAGTAAAAATGTTGTTTTGATATTTTAATTTATTCAAAAGCACTACTATTGCTAAAACAATATGTATTTATTTGAAATGTTTTAGAACTTTGTAATACTGCACAACTATTATTGAAAAATTTGAATTCACATTAATATAATTAATTGAATATTTACACCCTATCTGTAACTGATATGGTTAGGTACTTAAGTAATTGTGTGATTTAGGAAATTATATTTATGATATATTGTGATCTGAAGGACTGCAGGGGATCGCTCCGAGTGGAGGAGAATTGTTAAGGGGTCCAAGATCTTTCATGCATTGTCAGGGTTTGTTATTTGATATGATGATGTTGCATAATTGAATGAAAGTGAAAACACAGTGATAGAAATTTGTGATCAACAAAAAAAATTGATTTTGACAAAAAAAAAATAAATAAATAAAAGAACACATTATAAAGTGTTGAAAATAAAAAAGGGGAAAATAATATAATTAAACAAAGCTGATTGGGGAGGGAAAGGAAAGAGAGCAGGGGAGAGGAATGGATACAGTCAAATAAGAAAATACTTAGGTAAGTGTGACTTAAAAAAAAAAAAGTATAAGTGTGGTATATGAAAAAAAAGGTAAGGGTGACCTTATTTTTAATGGGTGCCGAAGTTTCAGCCTAAGTTAGAACTCTCATCAAGGCTAAAGAAAACAAGATAAAAGTAATGAAATTACACAATACATGAATACACACAATATATGAAAATGGAAATTATTAATGTAAATGAAAATTTGTATATATTTTTATGTATGTATATTTTTGAAAAATGGAAATTGAAAACATAAATAAAAAGAAATGAGAGATTTTAATGTACAATAATAATTTTCATTGTTCATGGTTGTAATCTCATTTGCTTAACCCCGATGAGGACTACAATTAGGTTAAAAAGAGTTAAAGTGAGCACACTTTAAAAATCAGTCTTGACTTATTTCAGTGAGTATCCTTCTTTTACATCCTCTTCTCCTCTCTTCACTATGTACAAGAATGAATTAAGTATTTACAATATTTATTTGTGTTAGGTACATAATAATAAGAAGAATATTATATATTATTGTTTTTGTAGTCTTACAATATAATTGAATAATATTTTGATATCCTTTCAACAATCATCATAAAACAAAATTTGTCATGGTATGATGATTCCATACAATAGTGGTTGAATAATAAAAAAAAAAAATCTTAAGTCACTGTCAACATTGCTTACAAGTATAATTAAAGTTGAAGTATTAGAAAAATGTCAAGTCAGTTTTTGTACTCAACAGATAGCAGCATCTGCAAGATATGACCAACAATAAAAGGCAGGCTTGAGGAACAATTGGACAGTAGTTTTCATTGGATCGCCTTTCCTGCAGGTAAGTCAAGTTTTTCTCATTATTATTTTTTTTAATATAAACATATTTTTCTTAAGACCTAGTTAATTACACAACACACTAGAATTGAGACGAGAGGTTATCAGAGTGATATAACAATCAGTTATTTATTATGTTTAACAGAGATAACTCTCAATCACATCTCCTCGACCTTGCAAAACATTGACCTCATGGTAGTTAAATATTATCAACAATGGGGTACAGCAACTTTCTGTAACAGGTGGCATTTTTTTATTTTTTTTTTCACTTAAGTTATTTACTCTTTCAATATATATTTTTTAATGAAAATTATCAAACCACTTGTTTTCTTTATTGTGTATTATAATAAATTCATAAATAGTAAAATCTCAGAATCAGAACGTTTGAACATGAACAATGTTTGCAACATCTCTCCCTGCATCAACTATACGTTCATCAGCAAATCCAGAAGCTTCCCCTTAAAGAAAGATAATTATTCTTGAAAAAACAAGATCAATAACAAAAAACAAGTTTTATACTAAAATGAGTAGTTAATTTGTATTTTGAAACCCATCAGCCTTATGAACCATAGAAACAGTTAAATATTGTTCATAATTAATTAATTGTGCTTTTTCACTGCTTTAAAAGAATACGATTTCTGTCTTGGTAAGCTTCACTTAAAATATAATTGAGTTTTGTAAAGAGTTTTTGTGCTCCTCTCCCCCTCAAAAATGACAATTTTCGAGACAATCCCCCAGTCAATGTTTTGTTCCTTACACAGCCTAAGGAAGTATACTGCCTCTAAAAGTATGCAAGGGCGGATGCACATTGAAATAAATACGAACCATGATTTTTATTAACTTATATAGAAATCGATCATAGAGATGTGTTATGTCGATGATATAAAATGCTACTTCCGGCTTGCCGATTTTGATTACAAAGTTGCTGTAATATCCCATTCATATACAAACCTTAAATACGCAATTTCAGTTTCGTACGACTTTTCGTTGGTGTGCTAGTGTTCACAAACACACAGATCATTTTGGAAGACTACTTTTATTGGGGTCAGAGAACTTCAAAAAGTGTATTTCCGTTTAAAACTTGGATTCGAAAATTTTCACGATCGCTATACTTTCGTTTACTATATATTTCATATATGGGTAAGTGAAAATAAAAAAAAACATTATAGCTTACTGGTATTAGCATTAATTCATTATTTTTAATCTCCAAAGAGGAACTATATCACTTAATTAAACAAAACTTTATCTCGCTTTGTATACAAGATAACTTCCAACAACTGAAATTCGAGGAGATCATTATCCTTGAATATTTTTATAAATTAAATAAACATTGATAAGTAATATATTGAAGATATCTTTTATGTAATGATTGATATCCAAATATTATCAAAACCTTCTAGTAAAATTATACGTCTCTATTTAAGATTAAGGTGACCAGACGTGCAGCTTTTGAGACAGTCCCGATTTACAACAGTTTGTCCCATATCCCGCTGGGTTTTAAAAAAGTTCCGATTTTTGGAAAGAATGCATGACAAGCTAAAGAACGGCAGGAGTACGAAAAGAAAATATATGGTTTCCGGCGGCCATGGGCTATTTCGCCAGAATATGACTTTTATATTATTTTATGATAATAAACATTAATAATAACGAATAACAGCTGAGAGCTGATTTTCGAGAACTGCTTATCAAAATTCGCATTGTTGATCAGTTGTTAGCACTAGCGGATCCAGGATTTAATTTTGGGGGGGGGGGCTTCAGCCCGAAAGATTTTTTTTCATATAAGTATAAAAATGATTAATTAAAAAAAAAAAAAAGAAAGGAATTAACTACCTATACGAAATGATGTTTAAGTGGTTCTTGAAATCCTATTAAATATAATTAAACGAACAAGAATACTTTAAGAGACAGATTTTGGTATTTTTTTTCTGTAAAACATGGTTATATTTTACCATTTTGGGGGGAGGCTTCAGCCCGAAAGCAGTATCTCCCCTCCCCCTCCCCCGTAGATCCGCCTGTGGTTGTTAGAATTCTAGAATGTTAGAAGTTTGGGCTTAATAAAAACTTCGAAAATGATTTTTTAATGAGGTATAATTATTAAAAAACATAATGATAAGGAAAAAGATAAATACTGGACATCAGCTAGTTAACTTTATTTGATATTTCGATTATCGAAATTGTGTCATCTTCAATAAGTTTTATAGTATTTTGAACAACAGCTGCTTATTCGCTATAAAAATACTCCTCTTCGCTAAATTATCAACCTGCACCAGATTATCATTATGTAAATTTAATTATTGTAACAACAAATTTGGACCAGGAGTGCCCATCTCCTCCAAGGTCAACGGCGCAAGAACCTAACCCCCCCCCTTCTCTCAAGATATTTTATTCCTCACCTTTCTTAAAAACAGAGCAAGCTAAGGTAGAATTAGAAAAATGGCAGATCAAATATAAATACACTTGCTGCGGTCAGTTCCATGTTATCCTTGCCCATTAGTCATTAAATTTATAACTCCGTCGAAATTTTCCCCGCTCAAAAATTCAAAAACATCCAAAAAAAAAATATGACACCTCAAAAATTTTGATGGCGCATCGTGCACCATGAAACTCCCTTCTGGGCAACCCTGGTTTGGACCAAGTTTTATATCAAGAACCAATGTTTGTAACTCCATCGGTCAATGCTGTCCCGCTTTCTCCATCTTAAAATCTGATCACCTAATTTAAGATGAAATGAAAAAATAATTTTATTCTGGGACTACAGTCCCCTAAGAATAATAACAGCGTTACAAATTTATGGGTATTAGTCTGGCTTAAAATAATAAAAAATACAAACTAATATACTGCTTATTGTTATTGCAGTTGTGCAATAGATTGAAATTAAACAGTATACAGATACAAGTAATTTTACATGTTAGCGGAAGTTTGAATGTGGAGTAGGTGGTGGAACAGGAGTTGTTTGAAGGAATTTGTGGACGAGGATTGACGTATGGAGGTAGGAAGAGAGTTCCAAAAGGAGGTAGCACGAATGACGAAGGATTTGCTGAAGGAAGTAGTTTTATGGGAGAGGATATATAAATCTATAGGTTGAGACCTAGTATTAAGAGAGTGGATAGAGGAGCGTAGAGTAAGGAGTTCCAGGATGTAGGGAGGGCTTTTGGTTCTGAGAACTTGGAAAAGGAACACACCCAGGAGGAATTATCGTCGGGAAGTAGGATAAAGCCACTTCAACTCGGTGTACCGGAACGATAAATGCAAATGCCTGGGGATCTCGAAGATGTATCTTATGAAACAGTTCATGAGTTTCTCTAGGGGGCGGGGTGGCCGAATGGGCTAAAGCGTGTACACAGCACCGCTAGTTCCCTGGCAACTGGATAACAGAGATTTGAGATGATTTAAAAAAAAGTACGAGGTCGCGTCCCGGTGCCGGAGGGGATTTTAAATTCCCCGCCCTCACCCTCCGGCCCGGGAAAATCCTGTATAGCCTAAAAGGCGAGGTAGGGAAGAACAAAAAAAAATTCATGAGTTTCTTTAGTCTCATTTCTAGCATGGCAGATAGCCCTCAATACACCAAACAGCCGTAGTCGAAGTGGGGGAATATAAGGGAGATTACAAGGATCTGTCTGGTTTTTAGAGGAATAAAATCACGGAATCTTAGGAGTTGTTTAAGGACAGTTATGGATTTTCGGGTAATCTGGAAGATATGGTTATTTCAGGAGAGGTTCTGGTCAAAGGTTACTCCTAGGTTTTTGACTGTAAGGAAAAAACAGATGGGATGGTTATTGAGGTAAAGTAGAGAAAAGTAAGGAAGGAATCTAATGAGATGCCTGGACCCGCTGAGATTTGCCTTAGTTTTATCTGCATATCTTTAATTCATTTATTTCTGGCCATCTGTTGATGACAGACCACCAAAAGGATATTTCAGTAAAGTAGGCCAAGTAAGTTTTTCTTATGAAAAAAAATTATATTCCTTTTTAGGTTCCTATAAATATAAAACTCTTAAATACCAATTGTTATATAAATAAAAAAATAAACCCTCAGTATTTGATTTTCTTTAACGAGTTTTGCTTCAGCACTACTGGAGGTAGGGGAAGCTTTGTATTAGTGCGAGAGGTTAAAAAAATGTTCCTACTCAGAATCCAAAATTTTCACTCCGTTTTACGTTTCAGACATCAACGATCAAATTTGGTTTGGTGCCTGTCTGTCTGTAGTCAAATCGATGTAACGGGCATATCGCCTACTACCGTTTATCCTATTTTCAGAGATTGTGCGGGTTGGCGTCTAGATGGTCCAATATCAAATTTATCAAAATCCATCCAGCACTTCCCCTTGCGCACGCGTAAATGTATTTTCTTGGATATGCCAGTATTTCAGAAACGGCTCGTTCAATTTGGCTCAAAGTTGGGGAAAAAAGGTAGGTATTAATAAAAACATAATGTAGTGTCAATTTTATTAATTTCTGTCACCTCCTTTCTCTTATACATGCGCAAACGTGTTTTCCTTGATACGCCTATAACTCTAAAACCGCTCGTTCGATTTGGCTGCAATTTGGAGTTAAGTTAAGGATTGGTAAACAGATAATCGAGAATGCATCAATTTTATCCACTATTTCCAAAAAAAAATCCTTCCGCTTTCAGATCAGAAAATGTATTATTTGACACGCCTATAGTTTGAAAACTGTTCAATTCGATCTGGCCCAAACTTGGAGGAAATTTGCAGAATGGTATAGAAATTACCTAATATTAGTTTCATTTAGATCCATTTAATAATTAAAATTAATACAAATATGGAATGGGAGTTAGGTTAATACAATATTTTAATGAAATTTACTACCATTACTTAGATTTCGTCTGATTTCCCATTAATTTAAATTAATTGTCACACTTAATTGAGTCAGTAAAAAAAAAAAAAAAAAAAAAAAAAAAAAAGGCGTGGTCTTGATTATCTCCTTGAATATCAAAGTTGTGTGAACTTCATACATATTTTTATATTCAAGCTTAATTAGTTTTG